AAGGCGTAAGAAAAGGATGACAGGAATGGTGGTTATGGGATGGGAAGGGAGATGTGCAACCTGCAAAAAGCAGCATAGAACGGCGTCTGGATTGCATTCGGGGGGTTCCGAATATTCGCGATATATACCGGTGTACATAGACGACCGCCACGTAACGAGAAACGAGGTACATCGCTCCGCGCTTGCGCTAGAGCTTTGGATGAATTATTACGCCCAATAGGGCAAATCATGAATACTTACTGACTTTAGACCTATGACAAGATGGCTGAAATTTGTTGAGATCGTGTATCCAGATTGAGTCTCCGGTTCGGGGGTGGCAATCACACCACGAGCTGTGACTGATACACCGACTCACACTTTGGTTTGAGTCGAAATCTCAACAACTCAACTCATCGTCACATGCAGGAAGCATAGGTAAAAATATCAGACGAGAACTCCTCTTCTCCCTCGAGTCTTGAGACTTTGCAATACGCAGTACAACTTTTTGGCATAAGGCCCGAGCGCCAGTCCATGCTATCTCGTTATCTTAGCCTTTGGAGTGGGTCTCTCCTCTCGGAAACTGGAGCAGTTGATGGACTCTGTCGCCAACACCACTGAAAATAGCTTCACTTTTCGCGCTTCAGTCGCGTCGAGGACACATGCTTACAATACACTTTGCTAGTCTATCAGATGTCATGTAAAAGTACACTACACTTTGTGGCGTGAGCTTTCGTATGCGTCTCGTATTTGTTATGAATATGGCCTAACTCCTTCTGTCTGCCGCAGTCAATGACGTCCATTCTCCGCTCGCTGTAACCCCAATTCTCGATCTCTCCTGCAAGTGAACCCAGGTGACTGCAATACCCCGACATTGAGGGGCCGAAGCGATTGGGACGATTCAGTATTTTGCCACCAATTGTTATTAGCAGTTCGAAGCTCCGCGCTTTTGCATGCTAGGCCAATACATATACTATAAAACAAGAGACTCAACTGTCAGGATGGAGTCGCGAATCATGGTTGTGGACTACAGTGAGGCTAGCGAGGGACGAGTCGATGAGACACCAGATTCTCGCTTTATCTTCACTTTAAGACTCGCAAATCTGCTGGAACAGTGCCGGGACTTACAGGTAGCTCCTGTTAGTGACTCAAAGCGCAGAGACGAGACCTTGTCACGATGAAGCCCAGTTCCTTCACAGCTGCCATAATTGGCAGTTGTCTGGCTCTCTCAGCCGCGAAATCACTCTGGTCCAAGAGTCCAGCAACTTACGGCTCCAGGGATTCCGATGCCTACTTGCTAAAGACGGGATACCCTGTCGGCAATGGCAAGCTTGGAGGTTAGACAACGTGCCAACTATCTTCTCCTCCTGATGGGCTCGTTGCTAACCCGTGGTGTATCCCGACTTAGTTATCCCGTTTGGAGAGCCTGGTTTGGAAAAATGGAATATCAATGTTGACTCTTTGTGGTCGGGAGGGCCTTTCGAGAGTAGCGTATGTCCTGTGACAGCACCATGGACTCCATTTTTCAAGATGGCTCCTTCGAGTCAGCTGATGGGTGATGAGTACGCTGTCTAGGACTACACGGGCGGGAACCCAGCAGACCCCAAATACTCGGCATTGCCGGAGATCCGCGCGGCCATCTTCAAGAATGGCACCGGCGGTATGGACTTCCGTACAGAGCCGCACCGAGCTCGGTAGATACTGACACCGACGCAGATGTCTCCCCCCTACTTGGCTCGGGCACGCATTATGGCTCGAACAGGGTACTGGGAAACCTCACAATCACCATCCCGGACTTGAAAAGCTACAACGCCTACAACCGGAGCCTCGACCTCTCCACCGGCATTCACACAACCGAGTTCACCTCCGCCAGCGCAAGGTTCACCACCTCGGTCCTCTGCTCATACCCGGACCAAATCTGCGTGTACCACATCCAGTCCAACAACACCGCTGCATCACTGCCCACTCTTACTGTCGGCTTCGAGAACCTACTAGTCGCGCATGATCTCATCACGACCACCTGTGGTAATGACTGGATTGCACTGACAGGACACACTCAAGCAGGCTCACTGGGAGGCATGAAATATGTCAGTGTTGCACGATCCGTCGGAAGCATAGCCAAAACAAGCTGCTCCAGCTCAAGTTCAGGCAACGCCCTCATCATCCAACCGGGTGAGGGCCAGACTTCACACACCATCGTGGTCGGGGCCGGGACGGACTACGATCAAAAGAAGGGCAACCGGGCCAACAACTACACCTTTCAAGGCTCAGATCCAACACCATTGATCCATGCCCTCGTTGGGGATGCCAGCGGGAAGAATTATGAGGACATTCTAGCAGCGCACTTGAAAGATTACCAAGCTCTCGAGAACACGTTCCATCTCTCCCTCCCAGATCCCCACCATTCGTCAAGCGTCGAAACGGCAGTCTTGCTATCCCGCTACAACTGGACTGACACTACGGGTGACCCTTTCGTAGAATCCCTCCTCTTCGACTACTCCCGCCATCTCCTCATCTCGTCCTCTCGCGCCAATTCTCTCCCGGCGAACCTGCAAGGGCGATGGACGGAGCGGCTCGAGTCGGCCTGGGGAGCGGATTACCATGCCAACATTAACATGCAGATGAACTATTGGGGTGCCGAGCAGACGGGCCTGGGCGGAGCGACGATCATGGACGCGCTGTGGGACTACATGATCGATACCTGGGTCCCGCGCGGCGGCGAGACTGCGAAGCTTCTCTATGGCGCAGAGGAGGGATGGGTGGTGCATAACGAGATGAATATCTTTGGGCATACTGCTATGAAGGAGGCTGCTCAGTGGGCGGACTGTGAGTAACTCCTTAGTTTCGCTCGACTACCTCCCTTCTTTGCCTTCCCTCCCCAATAGAGGATATATATCTCTTCTTATATATCGTTGCATCTTTTAACCTACTCGCTCACTCGTGAAATGTAGACCCGGCAGCGGCAGCATGGATGATGCAACACGTCTGGGACCACTACGACTATAGCCGCGACATATCCTTTCTACGCTCCAAGGGATACCCCTTACTCAAAGGCGTCGCCTCGTTCTGGCTATCGCAGCTCCAAAACGACACCTTCTCCGCCGACAACACCCTCGTCGTAAACCCATGCAACAGTCCCGAGACGGGACCCACGACCTTCGGATGCGCGCACTACCAGCAGCTCATCCACCAGGTCTTCGACAACGTGCTCTCCGCCGCCGCCGCCGCTGCGACGAACCAGACGGATGATGACAGGGAAAGGGAGTTCGTCGAGGATGTGAGGCGGAGCCTGGAGAGGCTAGACAAGGGCTTCCACGTCAGCACATGGGGCGGCGTAAAAGAGTGGAAGCTCCCAGACTCGTACGGGTTCGACGGCCCGTCCTTGCACCGGCACCTCTCGCATCTGGTGGGTTGGTATCCGGGGTATTCCCTCTCGTCGTACCTCCTCTCCAGCAAAAACAACACATCATCCCCAGCGCCAGCAACCCTGCTGTTGCAAGCGGCAGTCCGCCAAACGCTCCTGAGCCGTGGTCTCGGCAACGCGGGCGGCGACGCCAACGCGGGCTGGGAGAAGGTCTGGCGCGGCGCGTGCTGGGCGCGCCTGCACGACTCCGCCCGAGCGCACGAGGAGCTGCGCCTCGCCGTCGACGTCAACTTCGCCGCCGCCAACGGGCTCAGCATGTATGACGCTCTAAGTCCGCCTTTCCAGATCGATGCGAATTTCGGGCTCGCGGGCGCGGTGCTGAGCATGCTTGTCGTGGACCTGCCTCTGCCTTTTTCTTCTTCTTCTTCCTCTCACTTCCGAGAAGTGGTCCTGGGTCCCGCGATCCCGGCCGCGTGGGGCGGTGGCAGTGTCTCGGGCCTGCGGATCCGCGGCCGCGGCGGTGTGCAGGTCGGGTTTAAGTGGGATGAGAGCGGGCTCGTTACGGAAGCTGCTCCGATTGTGAAAGCCTCGGAGACAATAGGCAGGAGGGAGACGATTGTGTTTGTGAATGTTAGAGGGGATAAGTTGGCTGAGATTTGAAGAATTTCCGAAGAGAGGAGACTCGCAAAAAACATATATACCGGGAAAGGCCCACGCATCCTGGCACGCGTTTTATTTTACTTTTTTTTTGTTACGGGGCGGCGCTGGCTTCTCATCGGGCCTTCATCTACAGTCTGTGGTCTTGGTGAGCCGGGATTATTACAAGTTATCGGTACATCATAAGACAGACAAGTATCTAGAACCGTGCGCAGAATCTGGGCTCGTGCCTCGAAAGAGCACAATACATTGTCCCCTACTGGCTCGTGCCTGGTTTTTCTTCTTTTGCGGTAGCAATACGGGTCTGTTTCAATGAATTTTACGTCTTCTTCGTGATGATCACGATGTAAACTCGCTACCTAAGGGGGGAAGCCGGTTTTATAACACTCTAGTTCCAGTATGTCGATAGTGTGTTGTGTACAAGTTAGGTTAGGGGGTATTCGGTCTGAAGGGTCTGTAGTTTTCAGCTTTTCCGGACTTATAACGTTGGCCTGTCAACTATGTTGCGCGACAATATAATGTTAGACCTCTGCTAGCAGAATGTTAGCAGAATATTACAGCAATCAGGACGGCGTATTCGAAGTAGTATTCGAAAAAAAGGAAGGGGCAAAGGAGGCTGCAGGGCAAGCCAGAAATAGCCTTATTTCCATAACACGCGGTTTATTCAACTGCATAATAAAATGCATGCAACAAGGTATTGAAAATCTGGCTTTATGACCTTAAAATGTAGAGTGCCGACACTCTGCTAAAAAGGGGGTCCCTCACGTATGTAGGTTAGGACAGAGCAAAAAAACCTGAAACTCTTCTCCCATGTATGAACGTAGGATCGCATCATCGTACTACAACGGAATCATATATACACCTTTCCGTGTGGCGTTTGATCTTCTGAGTGTTAAAATCAAAAACTAACTCTGACTGGATTATTCCAGTACCGCTTATATTTCAACACTCCCCCTCCAACTGTACGTGCTATATTTGTGCCTGCAGGTGGTCTTTGCCTACGTGCCGGTACTGGGATTCGAACCCAAGTGTACAGATATTGTTTTTTCAGGTATTATCAAGTCTGTCGCTTATCCACTGCGCTAACCGGGCTCATAACCTGTTAAAATCAAAAACTAGCTCTGAACTGAATCACTCCAGTACGGCTTATATTTCAACACTGAGTATGGTTGAGTTTCAAATCGCATGAGACCATATATGCCGTGATCCGAGAAGCCTCGTCGATCCAATTTTCCCATCAATCGATGGCTGGTTCCGAGCTTGTTACTTGTACCTTCTTGGGGAGTTTTGACAAGGTTCCTAAGGCCATTCCCACTTTCCGAAGATCTTTATATCGTTAGTTACGATCTAAAGCCAACTAGAAAAATCTTCACGTGTTATGTTCACCAAACTCTCAAACGATCAGCCTCGAACAGCTGAAAACGCGTTGTTGACCAACAAGCAGGAAAACAAAAAGACGTCTCAAACTTGCCATGTCTGGACTGGGACTGGCCTCAGACAAGAGTTCCATGTGGTTTACACTACGTTCTGAAAGGCCGATATTATGTAATACAACTCTGCACTTGGGAGTATCAATGAGCCATTACTCAAACTCCTGCCGCGCTAAGAGAGAAGCACCGAGACTTGGAAGCTTGGCTAGGTTAAGCGGGTCGAGGACCCTACTCTTTGAAACTCCCTACCGGTATTTGGTAAATCTTGCCATTCGCTGGTCGAAAGCCCTGAGTGGGTTTGTTTTGACTGTAACGGCATCAGTGTCGTAGAGTTGACTCGTGATGGAACGACCGTCACAGTCAAGGTCATGAGAGATCGTGGGGGTTTCGAGTGGGGAAGTCTGGGGAATTTGTGCTAAGTTATCCTTTCTCAACAGGGTCTTGTCCAACCTTTGCCCCAGAGCAAATGTCTGCGACCTTCTTGCAATCATTGATATCAAGCAGATATTTTGATGGAATGCCTAAGCAGCTCTTGTAGCGAACGGGCAGCTCCTCCTCATGGTGATATCAAAAATTCTTTCTAGGACTGAGTTCTACGTTCTTGACATATGTAATAGGCAGACCAAGAGGCAAGGAGGATGAAAAAAATGTCACAGGTATGACATCATAACTGACCCGGTGCACTAGCAACGCGCTATCAATGGTGTTACTGGTACTGGCGCTAGCGTGAGTTGGCGCGGTGGATCTGATGAGGACCCTTGATTTATTGTAACTCAACCATTTGTAGTCGCAAGTTGCGCGCTCTGGCTTTGTGAATTCTAGAAGAAGGGGTAACCTGAGATACAAGTTAGAAATAAGCGAACAGATATTTCTGTGAAATCTATGAAGCAAGGGCTTGTAGATAGCAACAGTTATCAGGACCAAAGGTCTACAAGTTTCATACCATCCGTGGCTCTCTTCGGATTACTGCATTGGGTTAACGCGCCTACTCTAGCTTACATAAGATACTAACAGCAGCTTTCTCTTGGCTTCCTTCTGCGAGAACAAACTCTGTTTGGGATTCAACCCAGCCTTGGCACAGAAAGTACAGCAGTACGGCAGTACGGCAGTATCCCACGAGTGCCACGGCCGACAAAAGAGACAAGATGTCGTCCCGTTGGTAAAGCCTAACCTAGACTAACAGGAGGACGGAGGCAATAGCGTCTCCACCCCTCCGTTACATGTGCAGCATGTGTCCGCTGAGGCTCCGCTCCAGGGCCGTGACGATGCATAAACGGTGGACCCAAAGATGGACCCTATGACGATTGACACGCTGATCCTCTGATAGATTAACAGAAAGTCTGCTTCGGCACGCCTGGTACCTGAACAGGGACCCAAAGACGCCTGCAGAGTTGTGAACTATCTCAGCCTCTTGTGGAGCCCTTTATCGGACTTACCACCCTCCAAGGACGTAATGATCTTCCTTTGGCACACTTCCCATCTGTGACTCTACGGCATGCAACTAACTTGGGCGCCATTCTGACGGGAAAACTCTTCGCTGGACATTTATCGTCAGGGACTGTGGGTCAAAACGTTCAAGCGAGACTCGAGAGAACTGGGACCTCTCTCGACTCGCTCGGCTTAGGCTCGGAGCCCATGCACGTATTTGTGGAAGATTGTCACTGCTTCCCCACGTGTGTGATCATATCGCTGTCCTCCGCTTGTCTGACAGTGGCACTGGGATGGACGGCAAGGAGTTAAATATCACCCACGTCCAACGAGCCTTCCGTTTCTTCTCCCACGGGATAATCTCTGTCCATTCCAACTGATGTATCTCCTTCTCTCGAGCCCATTCCTTTCTGCTCATCCAACCATAACTCCCGGACTCACTCGAATCGCGACATACATAGAAGAAGGAAATTGTTGAGAGAAGAGTGTCGACACGATGGGGCATAAGGAGAACCCTGACGGCGTGCCCACATACTGGGGCACGTCGGGCAAGGCGTTACAGCGGCTCATCACCACTGTGGCGACCATCGATTTCTTGCTCTTCGGCTACGATCAAGGTGTTATGTCCGGCATTATCGGAGGTGAAGCTTTCGTGAAAGATTTCCCCCAGGTCGACGGCGATGATACTTGGCAGGGCTTTGTCGTCTCCATCTATGCTGTCGGATGCTTCTTCGGTGCTCTGTTCATCCTCATGTTCGGCGATAAGCTCGGTCGCCGTAAAGCCATCTTCCTCGGAGGCATCGTTATGATCATCGGTGTTACCGTCCAGCTCGCATGCGTGCCCCCGAATCACGGCGCTACCGCCCAGTTTATTATCGGCCGGTTCATCACAGGCATAGGAAACGGTATCAACACATCGACTATCCCTATCTGGCAAGCTGAGTAAGTTACCTTTTGGCCCACAGACACCCTCGAGGTTGGTCCATTGTACTGACGCAGTCGCGCTTGAAGATGCTGCCACTCGCATAACCGAGGCAAGTTGATCTGCATTGAAGGCGGCAATGTCGCTATCGGAACGTTGATCGCGTACTGGCTCGACTACGGCGCCAGCTATGGCCCTCACGCCTTCACCTGGCGCTTTCCGATTGCTTTCCAGGTAGTCTTTGCTGCAGCCGTCCTCGGCCTCATGATCCACCTACCGGAGAGTCCCCGCTGGCATCTGGCCCATAACCGAACCGAAGAGGCTGCGACGATCTTGGCTGCCCTCAACGGCGAGGCGCGCAACGACCCTATGGTGTCCACCCAGGTGGCCAACTTGAGGGAGGCCATCCGCGCTTCTGGCCAGCTCGACAACAAGACGACATTCAAGGACCTCTTCACCGGTGGCCCCACGCAGCATTTCCGTCGCATGATTCTCGGCTTCTCTTCGCAGATGATGCAGCAGCTCTCCGGTTGCAACGCTGTCATCTATTACTTTCCCATCTTATTCCAGCGCGCCATCGGAACCTCATCGAATCTTGCCTTGCTACTGGGTGGTATTAACATGGTCATCTACGCCATCTTTGCCACTACGTCATGGTATTTCGTCGAGCGTGTCGGTCGCAGAAAGCTGTACCTCATCGGTACTGTCGGCCAGTGCCTGTCCATGGTCCTCGTCTTCGGCGCATTGATTCCCGGCACTGCTAGTGCTGCCAAGGGCGCCGCTGTCGGTCTCTTTGTAAGTCAATCCAACCCACGGGCGATTGGATCGCGCAATTACGGTCGCTTACTAACGTGTCGTTATCATAGACCTATATCGCCTTCTTCGGTGCCACCTGGCTACCCCTCCCTTGGCTGTATCCTGCCGAGATCAACCCTCTGAAGACTCGGGCCAAGGCCACCGCCAGCTCGACCGTCAGCAACTGGCTCTGGAACTTCTTCATCGTCATGATCACCCCCGTGCTTGTGAACAATACGGGTACGAGCGGCTGGGGCACCTACCTGTTCTTTGCCATCCTCAACGCCATCTTCTTCCCCATCATCTACTTCACCTACCCCGAGACGGCCGGGCGCAGCTTGGAAGAGATCGATGTCATCTTTGCCAAGGGCTACCACGAGAACATCAGCTATGTCAAAGCTGCCAAAGAGCTCCCCAAGCTCGACGACTCGGAAGTCGTCGAGAAGGCCCGTTCCTACGGCGTCGATGTGCAGGCCGAAGAGCCCGGCACAGATGTTGAGAAGGCTGAAGTCGGCCACATTTCGTCCGCATCCTCTTTCTCGAGGTAAAAAATGACGATATTTTCATAACATGGGCATTTCACGTTGAAAATGTCTTTCCAAATCACAGAAAAAAAGGGGTTCGACATAAGGGACGATAAATGATAGGCATGGAGTGGTCTCATGAACATCTTGGATCTCGGTCGGGTTGGAGGTTTGCATTTTTTGCATTTTTAAGATGATACCACCAGTTTTGTTGTCCATTTTCTAACGACGTTTGGAAACCTGTCTCAACGGAGGATTGAGGCTTTACTGCTACAGGAGTGACCATTTACCACACTCTACCTTGTAGGGGGTTGCGGATAGATCATCATAGATAGATCTTTTGAATTGATATATAGATATCAGCAGTATTTCTCATGTGTGTTCCCAGAAACCCATGGTCGTCTCTTTACTGCCCCCTGCGACATGCAACAGGCCGTTGCGCATAACCTAGTAGCTCCGTGCGAGATACTGCAGGCCTCTTCATTCGGCAGGCTCCGGGTGCAGATCGCAGTAGTATCGAACAAAAACACGGCAGTCGGCACAATATTTATTGCTCTCCCGGTAGGTTAGCTTGATTACTGTAGCAACACCAAGAGCCAGTCCACAAAATGCCCATAAAAAACCCCGATTGTTTTTTATAGATCGAAGCCACCACGCCAGATCGCAGGTTAAACATTGCCATATAGACTAACCTAGGTTAGTTCTAACACCAAGGTTTAAATCCAAACAGTAGATAGACATTCAACGCGTGCAAAGTCCCCGTTTTGCAGTGCCGTTTTAGCCGGTTTTTCTGTTTTCCCCTTGGCTCTCCTTCCCTTTTTTTGCAGAATCGAAGACGTGTCGGTGCCTATGATAATAAATCCTATCTTTTCGAGGGTGGCTAATCCCAGAATATATTATGTTTGTTTATTTGGTAAAAGGGGGGGGGGGGGGTGGGATAAACATGGAACGCACTCACCAACATTGGACTCTTATGCGGAATGTAGGCAAACA